TTTATGGTCAATGATGTTCTGTAAACGGTATTGCTTTCTGAAGTATCATTTTCAGTGGTTCACTGTGAGGACACATAGAAACGCGATTAATTTTTAATTTTGTCATTATATCCTGCTATCTTGCCAAGTTCAGACATTGTTTATTGTAACCTTTTGTAAATTCCTTAGGGATGAGACAGCATGTGAGATTTTACAGTCACATCCTCCTCTATTCCCAACACCATTGTTCAACTCTGGCAACCACTGATATTTTATTTTTACATCATTTTTCATATTTTCTGTGAGTAAAGACAGTTTTACCTCTTCTGTTTCTAATCTGTATTCTTTTTCTATTGCCTCATTGCTGTAGCTAGAATCTCCACAATGTTATTGAAGAAACTAGGGAAAATGAATATCCCTGCCCTCTACCTGACCTTATGGTGAAAGCACTTAGTCTTTTGCTATTAAATCTGATATGACTTAGAGGTTTTCATAGATGTCCTGTATCATTTTGAGAACGTGTGCTTCTATTCCTGGACTCAGAGAGCATCATACCTTTTAAAAATGAAATCCAAATGGATTAAAGATTTAAATGTAAAATTATGAAACCTCCCTCTCCCTTCTGCTCTGAAAGCAATGGAAATATGTGTTTTCTTTTAAAAGAATAATCATACTATCAGATGGTGGCAAAGATGCAGAGAAAGTGGGTCTCTCAGACATGGCTTCTGGAAATTTAAATGATACAGCCATTCGCCAGGTCTGGTGTGGCTCAGCGGTTGAGCATCAATCTAGGAACCAAGAGGTCACCAGTTCGATTCCCAGGCCTGGGTTATGGGCTCGATCCCCAATAGGGGGTGTACAGGAGGCAGTCGATCAATGATTCTCTCTCAGCATTGATGTTTTTGTCTCTCGCTCTCCCTTCCTCTCTGAAATCAATAAAAAAAATATTTTAAAAAATGATAATCATTCTGCAAAATAGTTTGGTAGTTTTTTTTTTAATAAAATTAAACACACTTTCCTTATGACCCAGAAATCTCCACCTTGGTCATTTATCCACACAAAATTCTGTGCATAAATGTTCATGTCAGCCTTTTTCGCAATAGCCAAATACTGGAAACATCCAAAATGTAGATCAACAGCTGAGTAGTTAAACTATGATACATTCTATTCAGGAATGAAAAGTAACAGACTGTTGGCACACAAAATAACTTGAATGGCTCTCAAGGACATTTGGCTTAACATTTGGGAAAACACACATCCATTCTCAAAATCTTACATGCTTTGGTTCTTTACATTAAACAAAGGAAAAAAACTCACATGCTATCTGATCCCATTAACATAACATTCTGAAGGTGACAAAATTATAGAGATGGATAAGAAATCATTGGTTAAAAAAAAAGGAAATCATTGGTTGCCAGGGTTGAAGACTGGTGTTTCATCCTTTTAATAGAGTCTTCTGCAGAACAATGGTGGAGGTGGCTGTTACTGTAAAAGGGCAACATGAGGGACAGCTTCATGATGATGGACTAGATTAGTATGTGGACTGTGTTGATGGCTACTCAAATCTAAACGTGATCAAATGACATAGAACTATGCACATTGTACTAGTATTCACGTCAACTTCTTCCTTTTAATATTGTAATGGATGAGTAATGGAACCATTGCGAGAAACTGGGTGAAGGAAGGGACAAGTATCTGTATTATTTTTACAACTTCCTGTGAATCCGTAATGATTTGAAAATAAACATATTAAGCCCTAGCCGGCTTGGCTCAGTGGATAGAGCGTTAGCCTGCGGACTGAAGGGTCCCAGGTTTGATTCCTGCCAAGGGCACCTGCCTGGGTTGTGGGCTTGATCCCTAGTAAGCGGTGTGCAGGAGGCAGCCGATCAATGATTCTCTCTCATCATTAATGTTTCTATCTCCCTCTCCTTCCCTCTCTGAAATCAATAAAGAAATATATTTTTAAAATAAAAAAAAATAAACATATTAAAAGTGGGATCTAGCCTGGCCGGTGTGCTCAGTATTTGAGTGTAGACCTATGACCCAGGAAGTCATGGTTCAATTCCCAGTCGGGATACATGCTCCAGTTGTGGGTTTGATCCCCAGTGAGAGGCATGCAGGAGGCGGCCAATCAATAATTCTCTGTCATCTTTGATGTTTCTGCCTCCCTCTCCCTTTCTCTCTGAAATCAGTAAAAAAATATATATATTTAAAAGTGGAATCTAATTGAAGAGGAAAAACACAATCTAAAATAGACATGGACAGTCACACATTGGGGCGTGGGAGCATCACTAAACTGTTCCATGGGAGGCCAAGGTGTAGACTGAGCAAGAGGTGGTTGTAGACTGAACAACTGGTGTCTCCTTGATGTACCACAGACTATAAATACAGACTTCTCTTCATTCTGACGATTCTTGGCAAATAGCAGCCAACAGTGTCTATTCTCCGCAGGAGCCAGGAGTTTTAGTGATTGAGTGGAAGGGACAGAAAACTCCTGGTGCCTGAGATTACAGAGATCCCCACACTGAGAAGTTCAACAGATACACAGCCCAGGAGTCCCAGTCACCCCCCAGTGCCCTGAGAAGTGCAGTGGACAGGAACACCTTCCTCTACCTCATCATATACACCGTACAGCAGCAATGAGAAGGGGGACTCGGCTGTAATGATGAGAGGCAACAAGATGCATCCATGGTCTGATGGGCCCAACACAGTGAAAGGAGCAGATGACACGAACTTAAGTCGCAAAATTATTTCTATAATGTTCAGAACCTGATTTCTCTATGAGCATATCTTTGGACTGAGGAGAGATAATAGTTCTAAGTTAAGAACTATTATTTATTGAACAAGAAACAATAGATCTTGAAAACAAAAATATGATGGATGACATTTTACACCTGCACCAGAAATACTGGGAACAACTCAAGAGCAAATTGTTAATATGATGTAGAATGGACTTCTCCCAAATGAGGTAAAATGTTTGGAATGTATGAAATAAAAAGTAAAAGATATGTGATAAATACAGAAATTCCAACATGTGACCAATTGTTAGTTGAGAGCAGAAAATAGTGGAGGGGAATCACTAATAAATACTATATAGGAACTCATCTTCCTCCCAGTTTTTAAAAATATGTATTTTTTATGCATTTCAGAGAGGAAAGGGGAGGGGGGAGAGAGAAAGGAGAGAGAGAGAGAGAGAGAGAAAGAGAGAGAGAGAGAGAGAGAAGCATCAATGATAAGAATCATTGATTGATTGCCCTCTACATGCCCCACACTGGGGATGGGAGCCCACAACTGGGCACATGCGCTTATTGGAAATTGAACCACAACCTCCTGGTTCATTGGTCAATGGTCAACCACTGAGCCACACTGGCTGGCTCCCCCAGTTTTCACTGGAAGAACACTTCCTGCTCATGGGACTGTACCTGCTACTCAGTCCAATGCTGAACTTGTATTTTTTCAAAGTCATCCAAAATGTGTTAGGTGAGTCTTTGTGGTCAGTCCTGCCGTCTGGCCCAGGTGAAGCGCACAGGAAGGAAAAGGCATCGTCTTGTCCTGGGCTGGCTGAGAATGTAGGTTTCACAGAGCTGGTAAGACTCCGCAGATCCAGCCGGATCAAGTACCCATTGTTTCCCCAGGCAGCTGTGGGACCTGTGGATAAAGGACAGACCTGAGACCAAGGTAGGGAGGCAAAGGAAGGATATTTCTTCTCATAATCTCTCACAGCGTGTCAACCAGGAAGACTCACACCTTCTCCCCATCCTCCCCATAGAGGGGTGTTTGAAATGGTGTATGGGCAGTACCTGCTTTAATTCTTCCACAATAATTGGGTCTTCACTGCTGTTGAATAGGGAAAAAAAAGAGATACTAAATGTTCTTACAATGAACAGAAGAGTCACACCTGGTGAACAAAAATCCCATCTAAAATTCCATCTGTGTCCATATTGCAAAATATAAGTCCCCGTGGCAGAGTTTTGTGTTTAAAGAAACTCCGTATCACTTCAACAGCCCGTGAGAGAGAGAAGTGCTCAGTGTTTTACCTGGATCCACACCGAGACCATTTCTGGCTCCAGCAGGCTTCCACCAGGAAAGCCACCATTAGAACCATAATCATGGCTGACAGACAAAGTCGGATGAGGTTACCCATGGTGTAATCTGTTGATGTGCCACCTGGGGAATCTGAAAGGGAGAAGAGAATCACTAATGTCCCTGCTTCTCAGTGGATCTACTAAACATGACCCTCACACGCCCACCTGTGTTTCCTGGGCAGAGGTCAGATGTACCTCATTAAAGTTGTGATCACTGGAATAAAAATGTGGAGTTTTTCTAGGCCTGGGTGGCTCAGTGATTGAGCGTCAGCCTATGAACCAGGAGGTCATGGTTTGATTCCTGGTCAAGGTACATGCCCAGATTGCGGGCTGGATCCCCAGTGTGGAGTGTGCAGGAGACAGCTGACCAATGAGTCTCTCTAATCATGGATGTTTCTATCTTTCCCTCTCCCTTCCTCTCTGAAATCAATAAAATATATATATTTTATGAAAGTAGTGGTTCTTCCATCTTCTTTGTATTCTGTCTTTCTCCATTCATTTGCTCTTCATCTCATTTCCACTGTCCTGCATTTCCTTCCCCCCTCTCCCATGTGTTAGGAATCTGTTTCCAGGCAACACGAAGAGCCAGAAATGCCCCCTCAGAGCACTGAAATTCAGCAGCTGCATCAGCATACGTCTCCATAGCACAAAACTTAGCTAGGTGAGTTTGGTAGCTAAGCACTTTGACCATTATGTGTTCAGCTTCAGTCACGAGTGGCTCAATCTTGGCATTGGTCCTCATTCCTGTAGAGAAGCCTGAATTTATATCCCCCCATCTCACTCATCCCAACTCGTGCAAAGTTCATCACCGACAATGTTCCCTGAAGGCAGAGTCCATGGGGAGATATAGGTAATGACCTTTCTTCCCCAGGAATCAGGGAGCTCTGGGCACCTCTCAGGGCTGGCCATACAGACCTTGATCTAATTATAAGACATTCACCGACCAAATGGGAAGACTGCACAGCAGAAAAGAGCACAGAGCTGTAACATAGCATGTGTCACAGCAGGAAATGAAATATAATCTCAGACAAATTTTACCAGTAAGTTTTGTGAAATTAAAATTTAAAAAGGCATTGCATCCATTTTCCTGAAACAAGAGGCTGTGGAACACCACATTCTGAGAACTAAAGATAGTTGTGGGGAAGAAATCACTATCATCAAAATCAAACAAAACTTGAAGAGATGCAGAGAATGGTGAAGGAATGGTGGTGACGGCAGGGTAGGTAATTTTGAAGAACAGCAAGAATAATTATCCAGCCCTAGCTGGTTTGGCTCAATGGGTAGAGCGTCGGCCTGGGGACTGCAGGGTCCCAGGTTCGATTCCGGTCAAGGGCATGTACCTGGGTTGCAGGCACATCCCCAGTATGAGATGTGCAGGAGGCGGCTGATCAATGTTTCTCTCTCATCGATGTTTCTGACTCTC